AAAAGCATCAAGCTTCCATTTCATACTATATATGAAATAAGTTTTGTATAGATTAAAGATTTAAAGTAAAATAAATAAATAAAAATTTTAGAAGAAAGTAAGGAAGAACTAATGAACATAAAAACCGAGAAGATATGTTTAGTTCCATAAAAATGGAATATTTTACATGACACAAGATACAACAACATTAAAAGACTAATGTTAGAGTCAAGACAAAATGTTTACAAGGGATACAACAGTGAATTGGTTCATAGCTAAAATATACAGAGAATTCTTGGAAGTTTTTAAAAGGCAAACAAAGCAACTCAGAAAAAAAGGCAAAAGAAATGAAAAGCAGTTCAGAAAAGACAAACTTAAATGACCAATAAATGAAAGAAAAGGGCCTCAAACTCAGTAAGGAAGTACACATAACAAATTCAGTTAAATTATTTTATATCCATCAGACTGGCAAAAATTAAAATTACACTTTGGAGAACAGTTCATTAGTTCCTCAGAAGGTTAAACATAGTGATACCAAATGACTCAATGATTCCAATGTGGTATAAAAAAACATGCATCCACACAAAAATCTATTCACGAATAATCATGTAAGCATTATTCTAAATAACCAATAATTAGAAACAACCAAAATGTCCGTTGACTGATGAATGGATAAATAAAATATATCTGTACATTGGAATATCATTTGGATAAAAGAGAATGAAGTACTAATACATGCTACAACATGGATGAACCTTGAAGACAGTATGTTAAATAAAAGAAGCCAGTCACAAAAGACCACATATTCTATAGTTCCATTTATATGAAATCCCCCAAATAGACAAAACTATAGAAACAGGAAGTAGATTAGTGGTTGCCTAGGACTGAGTTTAATGGAGAGGTGGGACTGCCTTCTAAATGGGTACAGGTTCTTTTTTTTGGAGTGATAAAAATGTTCTAAAACTAGATAGTGGTGATCATTGCATAGCTCTGTGAATATACTAAAACCACTGAATCGTATACTTTAATGGCTGAATTTTATGGTATATGAATTATATTTCTATAAAGGTATTTTAAAAATTAAAATCATCCATTTCTGGAAGAGATGCTTGGAAGAAGTACCTGTATACCTGGTTCGTAGATATCTGAATTATTTTTACCTCTTTAGAGGGCATCTTACAATATCCTTTACAATAATATATATAGATATATCTATATATATATCCTTAAACCCAGTGGTTCCACTCATGAGAATCTAGCACATATTACTAATATATAAATAAAAGTACTAATAGATGAGAATCTCAGTACAATGATGTTCATATCAGCCTTACTGTGGCCACAGCAGATTGGAAACTATGCGAATGCCTCTCAGCATAGTTGATACAATGTGTATGATTTTTAAGAAGCCACAATTTAGTAGAGCAAATATATGTTTTTCTGTATTGTCTTGTAATTGGGTTTATTTTTTTTTCTCACCTACCCTTTCTGCCTCCTTCTGTTTCTGCCTAATGGTAGAAAATTTAATATAGTCACTCACACCCAGGATTTCCTCCCTCTTCCACCCCTTCCTAGGATGATAGAATCGTAGTTTAGGTAATGGGGATAGTTGATGTGATTTCACGGCACTGAGAGATTCAAGATGTTTCTTAACCGAATTTATTGTTATGTTGTATACTTTTGGACTGGAATCCATCTCTTCTGGTAATTATTGAGATAGCTGGTATGCAGAGCACATCTGTTAATATTTAACATATCTGTCCACGTGGCTGCATAGCTTT